TAGAAAAGAAAAACTTAGAGTTACGAGAACTGACTTTAGGAGTGTAAAAGACCGTCACGTGGGAAAGGCATTAGACTTGTTCTGCTCAACCTCAAAGGACAAAACTGGAAATAATTGATGAAAATTGCAAAGAGGCAGATTTGGGCTCTAATAAGGACGAACTTCTTAATAATTTGAGTTATGCAAAAATGGATCGGGCTGCCTCAGGTGGTAGTGAGCTCCCTCTTCAGAGTAGGATTTCAAACAAAGGCTTGATAATTACATGTTAGGAATGTTGTAAAAGAGATCCTTGGTCACGTATAGGTTAGACTAGATGGCCCCTGACATCCCATTTAACCATAAGAGTATAATTATGTGAAAGTTTAGCAATAATTATCAGTCACCAGAAACTGGGCACAAACCAATGCTATTGATTATCCTGTTGATTTTGGAGCTAAACTATTCCCATCCCTTGACAAATTGCAAACAGATCTCCCTTTGTGCCTAAGGGAGTTTATGCTTACCTACACCAAGTTTTGGTTTCAAAAAATAAATTGGTATAAAGCTTCTTAAGAAAAAGAAATTTCATTTGTCAATGACCTAGTTCCTACCAATTACCAGAATCCAACAAAAAAACTGGATGAAAGCCAAATCACAAAATTCCCTAAAATTTGTGTCTTTAATTTTAATTAGATCAATCCAAGAAGAAAGAGGATAGCAATTTTACCTTAGTAAATTGCTATACTGTAAACTGTACTAACTGAAATTGCTAAATTTTTAAAATTTTATTTTTAATTTATGAAAACAAGCATTTCCATAACAGAATAATAATTAAAATGACTTCACATGAAACTGCCAATCCACTATGTAAAATTTGCTATTCCTTTTAAATATATAATAAAGTTATCATGTAAATTTCTTTTTTTGCCTTCCCTCCTGCCTCTCATCCTAGAGATGGCTATCATTAGACACAAAGAGGTATATATATGTAAAATTATTCTATACATACTTCTATTTATCAGTTCTTTCTCTGGATGCAGATAGCGTCTTTCTTACCACTACTAGATCTACTTCCAAAGATAATTAGGGGAAAAAGGGAAAGAACCTATATGTTCTAAAATTTTTATAGCAGCTCTCTTAGTGGTGGCAAAAACTGGAAATTGCAGGGATTCCCAAAAATTGGGAATGACTGATATTTTTTGAACCAGATTCAGTCTCAACAGATCATACTATTCTGTAGTAACAAACAAATCACTGGATCACAGAAGTGAGGAAAACACCTTCTGGATTATAGTGCTTCAAGCAAAAATCATTGATCAACCACACTGAAAATTAAATGTTAATTAAGCTGTGATGTTTTATTCATGAACAAATTCCTAAAAAACCACATGTTAACAGGAGTGGGATATATAGCAGTACTAAAAATGAATGATACCCTGGAGAATCATAAATATTTCTAAAAGAGGTCATAGTCAGACAACTGAAGGGATTATATGTTCATCACAGGGACAGTTAATTTATTTAAAATGTTTTAGGGACAAGAAAAAAGATGTCTCATGTCTTAGGAGGTGATCTCAATAGCACAATACAGTACGTCAGCAGATGGTACAAAGTTATGTGTGTGGTATTTAGTCTTGTGGGAAGAATTCTTTTAGCTGGATAATTTTCCAATGATGACTTGCCTTATAATTTCCCCTTCTTGGGTGCCTTCCATTCTCTTTATGAAACATCGAGGTGGTAAAGTGCATAGAGTGCTCTGCCTGAAGTCAGGAAGACCTGAGTTCAAATCTGGTCTCAGATACTTGGCAAATCACTTAATCTCTGCCTGCTTCAGTTAATTTTAAATTGGGGATAAAAATGAGATAATATTTTTAAAGTGGAGGGCTCATAGTAGGAGCTTAATAAATATTTCCTAATTTTTCTCTCAAGGCACTCTGGTAGCATTTCCCACTGGAAGAGCCCCAACTTCCTGATATGTCAGTTTTCCATTAAATTTCTCACAAAAACATGCAATACAGCCTTAAAACAGCAGGAACTTAATAGTTTGAATTCTTGTTATATAAAGAAATTTTCAAATATTTCTTGTTAAAAATAGTAAATTACTTATGTCAGATGCAAAATACTCCCCAATTAAGAGATGAAGAAGCTAAGTCACTTAAGTTAAATCAGCATTTCTCAAAGTGTGATCTGGATACCTTTATGAGTCCCTGAGACCCTTTCAAGGGATCTGCGAAGTCAAAACTGTTTTCATAAAAATATTAAGATATTTTAATTTTTAACATGGTAAATATTGAGAGATATAACCTGCATAAACAAAAGCTCTTTGGGGTACCCAGTAATTTTTAAAAGATCAAAACATTTGAAGACTGCTGTAGCAAATCATTATTTAGCATGGGAGGTGGGCCAGTAGAATGTGAGGGATTGTCTGATGTTGGCTACGTGCCACGTGGGGGTTGTGGCAAGATGGGGCAGGGACAAGATATTGGGAAGTAACTGGAGCTCACGGTCCCGAGGCAGGGGGCTGTGCCATGTGGAGTTGTGGAGAACTGGGGTAGGAACAGGATACAGGGAAGTAGCCAGAGCATGTGCTCCTGAGGCAGGGGACTGTGCCACGTGGGAGTGGGACAGCAGAGAATGAGCTCCCTTTGTCTAGTCCTCTCCCTAGGTGCAGCGCTAACCCCAGACGTTTCCTTCCAGTATCCGGGCCTAGCTTCCTGTGTCACGTCCTATCCCTTGGTGCAGCGCTAACCCAAGACATCCCCTTCTGGTATCTGATCCTACAATCATTCACTGGTAGGCGGGCTGAGGAGGAGGGGCTAGGAAGGTACATAGGGGCGGTAGGGGTCGGAGCTCGCTCTCTCTTGCTCCTGCTCTCTTGCTCTTGCTTTCCTGCTTGGCCTTGCTGTGATGGCCTCTGAATAAAGTTCGAGTGTTTGCACCTCCTGATCGGCTCGTCTCTGTGTTTATCCAGGTGGGCTCCGAAGACTGGTAAGTATGACCTTGGCAGCCTGCTCCTGTTAGAAGGAGAGTGCACGGCGCGACCAGCACAGTGGAGGGGAGGAAGAGATGGCAGCTTTTATTGCTATCTTTGTTTTTAAAACATATTCCTTGTTGCTGAATTTGTTCATGAAGCATTTTAAATTTCAGAAAGCAAGACATACATACACACATATGTATATGTATATATAAATCTTTCTTCAAACATTTGCATGAAACCATCACAGATTGTTCTCAATAACAACCAAATTATTTAGAATAGAATACAGGGCAAAAAGACAGGGGCAGTTTCTACAAAGCAATGGCCCAACTTTTTCCATATAAACAGACGTGGATTTTCTACTACAGCTGTCAGGTAAAGGAGAACTTGGAAGCTCTCAAGTCTTGTGACTAATTTCAGAAATGAATTTTGCTAACAGAAATGTATTTATAACATAAATCAAGAAAGAGAAAAATGAAGTGGGGGGGGAACCCCAGTACTCCAGACTGAGTTTTGAAAGCTATTACAAACATAAGATATTTATTATCATAAAATCTTCTATGGAAAAGATCTATCAGGCCTCAAACTAGATAATAGTTACACTAATATTTAGAAATCTTTGGAGTCAAACTGTCCAAAGAAATTGTTCTTTTGTAGCTGAGGTTAAAAAAACCAAAACACTCACCAAAGCTTCAGATTTCCTCACTTAGAGGTCAGAAAATGTCAGGGCTATGGAAGAGCTATGAGTTCAAAGAGTTCTTTCAACCTGAGAGTGCCAGACCGATGAATAGGGGCTAGGTGCACCATGTTGTTTACATCATAGCCCTGGTACCCATCTTAACTCCCTTCACAATGCCTGGTGGAATTGCAATATCACTGCTGAGTAGGTTACTATAATCGATTTTCCACCCATCAACAGTACTAAGTTGTACTAAGTACTAAGAAAAAGATTGATCTAATGCATAGCTTTTATAAGTACAAAGTTAAAATAACAGGGTCACTTGCAAATTCATTGACTTCTGCCAAGAATATGTAATCTACTGTCACCTCTTTTTTATAGATAATGTTCTAGAAAAACATCCAGGATAAGGCAAAAGACTATTAAAATTTTGTAAAAAAGGCATAAATTATAATCAAATCTAAACAAGGAGACTTAAAAATCAGAGTGGGCAGTTAATTTTATCTTTTTAATGGGAGGTAGTGATTGATTTTCAGTGAATCTCATAATTCATGTACCCATTCTTAACCATACATCTATAGTGGAAAGGGATCTTGATTTTCATATAGTCCTACACTTCCATTTTTCAGAAGAAAATGAATACCAAAAAGTGTCAGAGGAGAATTTGAATGCAGGCCTTTTTCTGACTGCCTGACTCTTCCTATTGTATTACAATGTTCAATAATTTTAAAAAATGATAATTATGTCTTGCTGCTGGATAAACATAGAAGCAGAGTTGATGTGTTTATGAAAAATATAAATTTGATATGGAAACAAGATATTTGTTTAAAAATTAGGAAGTATTTACTCCATAACATCATTTTTGGTTGGTTTTTATTTCCTAACATACTAAATTGTTTCTTACGCATGTTCTGATGTTTAGTCTACTTGCTATTATCACCCACTAAACATGGAGATATTTAAAATAATCTCTCAGGTATCTTTGAAATGTAATTTCTTGGGCAAAATATTGTGATACTTTCAGCCAGTTTTAAAAAAAAATCACAAGGTACAACATAGCTTATGGTATAAAACTGAAGGAAATCAACAAATTAAATCTCAAACATATTTCTAAGATTTTTCAACTATTATTTGATTAAACAACACTTTTTATTAAGTAGGCATTGACCCTAAGTTAATGTCTTCTCTTTATAGGGCCAAGACCCCACATAATACTCACTAAGGAATATGAATGAAATTAAATTTTAAAATGTACTTAAGTGATACAGAGATAGAGAAGAATACCAGGGAACATCATATGGCCCTTGAAAGTAGAAACATCTGTGTAGAAGGTTTAGCACCTCTCAGAGGTGGGTCTGAGCTTACCTTGACATGGTGGATGAGATGCTCTATTTCATTCACTTTATAGGTCTCTAATCCCAGCTCTTTACCTAACCTTAATATCCGATTCTGGGTTGGTCCAACATAGGATCCTCCAAGGTCTACGTATTTAACATTTTTATTCTGGTTTTCCAATAAAAAAGAGAAAAAAAGATATATTATTGAAAATAATAAATAGAGGAAACTAATCAGCATGTTGAGATTTAATACTTTACCTCACTTATTACCTTGAGTACATCTTTGAAACACTTTGGGTTAATGTGCCTACTTCCTCTGTTTATATTTATTTGAAAATTTGTAATATCATCAAATAATGTTATTGTTTGCTTTTCTTAACTAACAACAAATAGTCTCTCTTAATATATAAATAAAATACATAACTATATAAATGTGCAATGTAAAGGCACAAATGTTTATACATGTACATAAAACATTATTACAAAATCTAAAAATATATGTACATGTGTTATATATAATATAATTACACACACATATGAGAAAAGTTATTATCCTACTTAGACAACCAATATCTGGATAAAAAGATTACTTAAAAAGAATCACACGGTATATAAAATTTACTCTTTTTTTCTGGACAGCTATACACTGAATCTGGATTACTGACTTTTTAAATAAGACATGAAATGTTATGAATTCTCTTCATTCACTTCTTCAGCCTTGTTTAGATAAAGTACCTAGTCATTTGGATGCCAAAGAGAAAAGCAAGGGACAAAATTAAAATTCAAACCACTCAGTATAGTTTACTAGTCTATCATTTGGAAAGTCATAGCTGGACAGGGAAGGTACAATTATAATTTAACTTTTTAAAAATCTCCACATCCTTAACAGTCCGAAATTTGATAACTGTTTTGACTCAGCTACTAAAGAAATAACCTTCTGTGAATTAGAGCTGATCAACAACACAAGACGGTATGCTTCCTCTTTAAGTATTATTCAAAAAGAAGTTGGGTGACCATTTGGCTGAGCTGCTATAAAAGAGATTTTTGCAATTATATGGAGAGAGTTGGACTAAATATTCTTTAAATTCTTCATTTATTCAACAAATATATATATATATATATATATATATATATATATATATATATATATATATTTTGGTGAGGCAGTTGGAGTTAAGTGATTTGTCCAGGGTCACACAGCTAGTATCATGTGAATGAGGCCAGATTTGAACTCAGGCTCTCCTGACTCAAGGGCAGTGCTCTGTCCACTGCGCCACCTAGCTACCCCTTCAAAAAATATTTGTTAAGACATCTACTATGTGCAAAGCACTGTATTAGGTGCAATGAGGAATGCAAATATGTATAAACATGTTCTTGTCTTCAATAAGCTTATGATACAATAGGTTTGATTTTAAAATGTATAGAAACAGCTGAAATAAAAAGCAAAATGACATTAATGCAATAAAAAGGTATAAAAAGTGCCATGAGACTTCAGAGAAGGGAGACATTGCTTTTGACTGGGAAGTTAAGAAAATGCTTGAAAACAAGCTCATTCCAAGCATGGATTGCTTCATTCTTTGTACTTGTAGCCTCAGTGCTTAACACAATGTGGGCACATAGTAAGCACTTAATACATAATTGCTGATCTGTTGATGGAGAAGTTATCATATGAAGTGCATTTGAAAATTGGTAGAACTTTGATGGACAGAAATGCAATTCAGGAAAGGGAAATGCAATATCTATTATATGTCAGATAAGTGATCTAAACTAAGAACTACATGAATTCAGAGGAGGAAGGGCCCACTTATAGCTGCTGTGTTGAGAGAGGTATCATGGAAGTTAGTATTTAGCCTAGATACGATAAATGGTGTGCTTTAGCTAGGTCAAGAATTTCATAAGCAGAAATGACAGAGCATTCATGGTGGAGAGAATAAACTAAGTAAAGATATGGAAGTGGGAAAGCATAGTATGACATTTAGGAAATGACAAGGAGTACCGGTTGGCTGTGAGCATAGTGTTGATAAGGTAGATTAGGAGCAAATTGTGGAGGGAATTGAATGCCAAACTAAAGGGCTTGAATTTTACTAGGTGGTAAATGGCAAGGCAAGGAAGGTTGTTGAGCAGGGAAGCATCATGATCAGAGACAGACTTTTCAAATAAGCACTCTTGCTTGAATTACTGGGAGCTCTGAAACTGCTTCAATCTCTAAAGAACTAATAACTCTTGGGTAGAAATAATTGGAGATATTAACTAACCAAAAAAATGAAAATGCTATTATAACTCTCTTATTTTTTTATGTAAGGGGGTGGGGAGGGGAAGTTATTTTCTAACTTGCCCATCTCAAGTTGTGATTACTTACTCTTACGGTAAAAGTTCTTCCACCTACTCGATCCCGGGCTTCCAGCACTACAACACTCTGTCCAGAATCATGAAGCAATTTGGCTGCTGCCATACCTGAATGAGAAATGAGAGCAGAATCATTAGATTCCAATATTCTAAAATTCTCCAGTTACTCTAGAGTGCATTGTCATGGTTTCCAGATCCTTTCTGTATCATACTAACTAGTGAATCTGATGGTGTCTAAACTTCCTAAACACAAGAGACTAAACAGTCCACTAAGCGAATGGATATTTCTAATAAGAAAAAAACACAAAAAACATTTCACATCTGGTAAAAAGTCAATTGTACAATCCTAGGTCTGACTATACAAATTAAAGCTTAGCTGAACCTACGGTGATTGTTCTAAGAAATGTGTTGACCAGACTTGGGGCAATATACAAAACTAGCTAATGATTATGTTAATATATGTATATTACTTATGCATATATTAACATAAAAATATAAATAATATATACACATATGTTATGTGTATATATTATTTATATAGTCTATATAAATGAATATCATGTAATATGGATTATAAATTATAAGATGTATTATTTTATGTATTATGTTAATATTACCTCTATACAATATAGATACAAAAATATTGATAATACTCTGTGTGTGTGTGTGTGTGTGTGCGTGCGTGTATGTACACAAAAACCCAGGAAGAGCACATAGGACCTGTTATTAGGTTGATATTTTTGTAAAATATAAATAGACAATACCATAAGTAAGTATGTAAAGAAAAATACTCCAGAGCCCATATCACATTGCTTAAAATAATCTACATTAAAGCTTTCACTCTGACCACCTAAATTCTTCTTCCCTGACTTGTGGAGTTTATTCTCATGAAGGAATAACTGACTCTCATTTTTCATACTCTTGGATGAGATTTCTAAGGCAAGCCTTTATTAATAAATTTTATTATTTGATGAAACGCATTTTATTTAAGTTGTAAATTTGATTAATAGTCCTATAATTTGGAAATGCACAACAGCTTGAAAAAAATGTGGTGAAAGGGCTTAACCAAAGTAGCCTGTGGACAACAGGTCCCAAACCATCTTACAATAGTGAGAAAAGGCAACTGAAAGAACTTTCATCTATTTTTGCTGCTGTACAGTGAAACGAAACGATGATAAGTTGTTTATTAGACTAAAGAACAAAAAATAGTTGGGTAACAAATTTGTTAGACTTAGCTAAAGAAAATGACCTCTGATTTTCTTTTGTATGAAGTACAATTTGAAGAATCTGGGGCCCAGTAGCATGAAAAACCATTTAACAGGAGAAAAAAAAATTATCTAAGGTATTTCCATTGGAAAACATTTCTACTTTCATCATTGATCTCACCACCTAACTTCATGCTTCCTCACTATGAAGAACAGCAATTAAAACAGGAACTTTTCAATTTCTTTTGATCTACTTGTTTCTAATTCACATTTTGTTTTTTTATCTTCATCTGGTAGTTAGCTAATACTTCAATTTAGTGTAAAGTTAGAGGACTTTTCAAAGTTATAATGAACACATTAGTTAGCTAACTGGTTCCAATAATTTTTTATTCATTGTTTTTAACAAAGCAAATATTTTTAGAGATGTATATTTTTCCTTTTGGAAACAGGTCTGATTTGGCTCTTGTTTTCCTATTTACTTGAGCATTCTATTTACTCTGTCCTTGGGTGTTCCCATTTAAAAAAAAAATTAAAGTCTAGAGTCCGTTATAGAGAACTGATTGCCAAAAAAAAAATCTGAACTACTCCCTCCACAACACCTGTGGAGGTTCAAAGTGCAAAAATGAAAATGAGTATGTGAATGAGAAAATTTAGGAGATAGGTAGCTGGAAAATTGGCCCAGGGCTTACCAACTTCATCCCTCTAAGTTAAGGCTCTTAAAATTTAAACACTTTGATTCAGGAACGGTAAATAATTCACTGAAGTTCCATATATTGCATTCTCAGTTGAGCAAATAAAATGACATGAATACACAATGGCATAACTCTGTCACTAATAAACTCTCTCTTTTTGGCAATAGTAACACAGAGGATAAGCCCCGAATACTCTCCCAGCTGCTCTTTAAAATAATGTTATTCTGAATTTGAAAAACAGGAACTGAGCATTTCTATGTACAAAGAAGAATAATAATGAAAAAAGATTACATATGAAACAATAAATCACCACTATGTCTAGGTTATTTCTTCTTTAAAAGTTTATAATAAACTTAATTTATTAGTTTCAAAAATGTATATGACATATATCCATTTTCAAACATGTCCAATGTGAGGATTTGTTTTGACTGTTGTTGAGTGTTATAAGTCAAGGTTTTTTTTTTTTGCTAGGCAATGGGGTTAAGTGACTTGCCCAATGGGGTTAAATCACACAGCTAGAAAGTATTATATATCTGAGGACAGATTTGAACTCAGGTCCTCCTGAATCTAGGGCCAGTGCTCTATCCACTGCACCACCTAGCTGCCCCCAGGGTTTTTTTTTAAAAAGGAGTAGATAAAGTAGGGAGTATAGAAGGGTTCATGATTTTGATGCCCCCCCCCGCCAAAAAAAAAAAAGAACAAAAAAAGAGCAAAAGAAAGAATTTTCAATGAAGCATTTAAAAGAGCACCTAGCAGAGAAAAGGAGATTCAGAGGAAAACAAAAGTGAGCATCTGGTGTCATCTGGTCTTAGACACTTACTAGCTGTGTGACCCTGGGCAAGTCACTTAATCCTACTTGCCTCAGTTTCTTCATCTGTAAAATGAACTAGAGAAAGACATGGCAAATCACTTCTGTATCTCTGCCAAAAAAACTCCAAATGGTGTCATGAAGAGCTGGACATGACTGAAAAATGGCACATCAACAGCAGTACATAATCAACTGCCTTTTTGGATATTTTGAAATGCATGTCCAGTGGGCATCTCACACAAGTGCAAAACATAATTTATTATCTTTCCTCCAAAACCTACCCCTCTTCAACACTTCCCTATTACTACTGAGGATATCATGATCTTTCAGACAATTAGATTTACAACAAGTTCAGTGTTATCCTTCACAGCTCATTCTTCCTCTGCCCACATATCCAATCAATCGTCAACTCTCATTATCACTGTCTTTCCCACCTTTATCTCTCCTTGCATAGCTGCTGTCTTAGCACCTCATCACCTCTCACCCCAGACTACTGAAAATAACCTCCTAATGTTTTACTTGATTGCTTACCATCTGGTGAGTGGGGAGGAGAGGGAAGGAAGGATAGAATTTGGAACTCAAAACTTTAAAAACAAAAATAAAAGTTTAAACAATCGTTTTAACATGTAACTGGGGAAAAATAAAATATTGTTTTAAAAAAAGGAAAAAAAAGAAAATAACCTCCTAATTTGTTAGCTTGACTCAAGGCTCACTCCATTCCAGTCTCCCCTTCATGCCAATGTTGAAATGATTTTCCTAAGTCTGACCAAATGTCACTCTTCTACTTCATAAACTGCAGTTATTTCTTATGTCAATAGGAACAAATAGCATCTTCTCTGTAGGGAATTAAAGTCATTCACAATCTGGCTCCGACCTAAATTTCTAACTTTACGATACATGACTCCCCTTCATACACTCTACAGTCCAGTCAAGTTGCCTTTCTTAATGTACATCATACCTGACACTGCATTGCCCACCTCCATGCTATTGTCCTGGCTGCCTCCATACCTGGAATGAACTCTTCCTTGTTCCCTTATTTCTCTTCTAATTTCTAATTAGTTTTTCAAGACTTAGCTCAAGTGTTACCTTCAGGAAGCCCTTCCTGATCCCCAAGATACTTGCATCCAAATAATCTTTTAATTACTTGTACTTATTTTGTATATTTAACTACACGTACATGTTCCCCATGATAGAAGGTAAGCTCCTAGAAGGCAGGAACAGTTTCATTTTTCACTTTCTATCACTCAGCACAGTGTTTGGTACATAATAATTGCTAATAAATACTTGTGGATTGATTTATTGATTGCTAAAGGCATCTGGTGTCACAATGGATAGAGCAGTAGGCCTGGAATCAAGAAGATATGAGTTGAAATCTAGACTCAGACATTACTAGCTATGTGGCCCTGGGCAAGTCACTTAACCTCAGTTTGTCTCAGTTTCCTCAACTGTAAAAGAGGGATAATAAGAGCACCTAATTCACAGTGTTGTGAGAATCAAATAAGACAATATTTGTCAAAAGTACTTAGCATGGTGCCTGGGATGTTGAAGGCACTATATAAATAGTTATTGCTTTCCCTTCTCCCCTAGACATACTCACATGTCCTTAAAGAAAGTAAAGCATACTAAGAAGTTGTTTCTTGAAAGAGATTAAGTGAATCATACATGTGTATCATACATGCACACCATAAAAAAACAACAACCCATAAATATTTGTTGCTCCCATAAATCTTAGCATCCAATGATTCTGGTTTTTCTCTGTGAAAGACAACATCAGAGACAGAAGCTGTGTAACAGAGCTGGATAGCAAATGCATAGGTAAATGGAAGGTGAAAGGTCAAGGGAAGAAGTCCTTGAAAAAGCCTCTTCGTCAACTAGGAAAATATCAAAACTGAAGGGCAGTGGGTTTGAAAGAAAATAGTCTGCCCCACACGTCAATCACAAAGAGTTCTTTGCTTCATCTGTAAGTTTTGTCCATATTGCAAGCCAAAATATTTTTTAAAGGATGACAATATATGTATTTTGAAAACATGATGAAACCAATCCCATTTTAAAAATCCAAGTAGTTTTCCTTTCAGAAGAGTGCATAGCTCATTGCAAAGCTGCCAAAGGGAAGAAGTGAACTAAAATCTAAAATGAATCTCACCAACACTTTGACATTTCTACCACAATAGTATTCATAAAACATATCCCACTTTGTTAAGAATCATAGGCAAAACAGGCACTTGCCCATCACTTTTGAGATTTCTTCTTAAGTAACGGCTTTACGAAGCCAACAGCCTTCATTTCAAAAGTCCCAAAAGCTTTGATGTAGAAAATGCTTTTTTGCTTGCTTATTTGTTTTTAAGAGTAATTCAAAATGTATACATGACCTAGATATAAAGAGAGATATTACAAAAAAAATTT